AAAATCATACCATGACCAAGTGTGGGTCACCCAGAGAGGGAAAATCATTGACTATAATTCACCACATTAACAGACTAAAGAAAAACTATAAGATCATATCAATAGATGCAGAAAAATCTGTTAATAATATTCAGTATTCCTGATTAAAAAAAAAGTTTACAAATTAGAAATGTCCTATATTTGGTAGAGGGAAATCATTTTAAAAAACTAGAATTACCACCACATTTAATAGTAAAAAACAAAATGATTTCTCTAGAAGATCAATCACAAGGCAAGGATGCCCACTTTTACTATTCCTACTCAATACTGTATTACAAGTCTATCTAGCACAGTAAGGCAAGAAAGAGAAATAAAGACATACATATTGAAAAAGAATAATAAAGTGGTCACTATTTATAAAATCATTTTTGACTATATAGAAAACCCAACAGAATCTATCCCTCAAAGGGGTACAGAACAAATGAGTTTGGCAAGGGTGCCAGATACAGGTTAATTTTAAATAAACATAATAAAAAGTGTAAATATGTCTGCACTTTAAAAAATCAAAAGAATGGGCTGGGGTTGTGGCTCAGTGGTAGAGTTTGCCTGGCAGGTATGAGGCAATTCAATTCTCAGCACTACACGTAAATAAATAAATAAATGTCCACTGAAAACTAAAAATAATCTTAAAAAAAAAAAGAAGTCCTAAATACAAAGTTATACTGCATGTACAGATTGAAAGACAAATACAGTTAAGATGCTAATTCTCCCTCAACTTATTAATGTATATATTTAGCACAATTCCAATCAAAATCCACCATAATTTTTTCATGGATATAAACATGTTAGAATAGCCAAAACAAACTTTGAAAAAAATAAATTATAGGACTCATATTACCCAAATTTAAGAAACATTATAAAGCTACTATAATCTAAACAAGGTGGTATTAGCAAAGGGACAGACACATAGATCAAAGAAACAAAATAAATGGTATACAAATCAAACCATACAAACATAATCAATTCGTTTACTTGTTAACAATTTTAGTCAGATATAATTCACATATCATACAATTCACCTATTTAAAATGTTAAATTCAACAGTTCTTAGTATATATATAGGGTTGTGCAACTATCACCCCACATCTATATTTACATTTTCATTATACCTTAAAAATCTCCATTCCCATTAGCAGTCTCCATTCTTCTCCACAATTCCTAAGCAACCACGAATCTATCTTGTATTTTATAAATTTGCCTATTCTAAACATCTCATGCAAATGGAATAATATACATGAACTTTTTAATGGGCTTCTTTTATTTACCATAATGTTTTTAATGGCACTTTTTTAAATTTTTATTTTGTGGTGCTGAAGATCCAACCCAGGGCCTTGTGCATTGGAGGCAAACTTCTAACAACTGAGCTATAATACCCCACCTCACCCCCAAGGCACTTTTTTTTTTATTAAACTGGTAAGATTCTATTTATGGATATATGGCATTTCATTTGTCTTTTCTATTCCAACCATCGCAGTGGGGTATCTCATGTGGTTTTGATTACCAATTCATTTTTAATAAAGGTGCAAAGTCAATTCAATGGAAAAAAAGATAGTATTTTCAACAGTGTTGTGGGCATTCACATGCATGAAAAATGAATCTTGACTTAAACCTCATACCTCATACAAAAATTAACATAAAATATGGGAGAAACTAACTACCTTTAGCAAAGAGTTCTTAGATATGCCACCAAATACATGATTCATAAAAGAAAAAAGTAATAAACTGAAACTTCAAAATTAAAAACTTATGCTCAAGAAAGAAAATGAAAAGATACAGCATGGAAAAAAAAATTTGCAAATCATATATTCAACAAAGGACTTATATCCAGAATATATAAAGAATTCTAAAAACTAACAGTAAGAAACCATAGCCCAATCTTGAAAACTGCAAAAGACATGAACAGAGGATACACATACAGCATGTAAGTGTGTGATTCAATGCTCAACATTATTAGGGAAATGCAAATTAAAAACTATTATGCACTATTCAAATGGCTAAGATTTTTTAAATGGACAATAACAAGTACCAGTAAGGATGTAAACCTACTAGAATTCTCATACATTACTATGGAGATGTAAAAATCACACAGCCACTTTGGAAAATAGTTTGGTAGATTTCTTAAAAACTAAACATATATTTACTTTATGATTTAGCAATCCCATTCACAGTATTTACCATCAACAATGAAAATTGATGTTCACACAAAAGCTTATACATGATGACAGCAGCTCTACTCATAACTGTCCCAAAATTGAAGCAATCCAAATGTCCTTTAACAGGTGAACAGAAAACCTGTGTGACACGTGCATGTAATGTATATTCATATAATGGGACACTACTCCACAATAAAAAGGAATGAACTTTTGAGCTGGGGTTGTGGCTCAGTGGTAGTACATGTAAGGCACTGGGTTCGATCCTTAGCACCCCATAAATAAATAAATAAATAAAATAAAAGTATTGTGTCCAACTACAACTAAAAAAAAAAAATTAAAAGGAACGAACTTTTGATACACAGAGCAATTTGGGTGAGGCATTACTAAGTGAAAGAATTCATTCTCCAAAGAGACTTTTGAATCCATTAACAACAATAGATGGAACAAACCTGTGGTTGTTAAGCCTTAGAAATGGAAGTAGGGTATAATCACAGATGGGCAACATGAGGGAATTTCTGGTGTGATCTGATGTTCTAACTGGTATAGCCTGATCTGTATCTGATTGTGGTGATAGTTAAACAAATCAGTATGTGTCATAACTCACAGAACATAATAGAGATCAATTTCATCATATGAGACTTTAAAAACTGTTTTAAAACTTTTTTAAAAAATGGTTATATTATTAAATGGCAAAATATAAGATATAAACACAAAGAGTAGGGACGCTGAACTTGCCTTCTTTCTCTTAAAAATCTGAATTTGTGTGGTGTTTTGAGAGCCCATGTCACCCAGGAAATGAATCACCCCTTTGTCTAGCATATTCAGACCACATAATCTTACCCATTCATTTATCAGTTAACAGCCTGGTTGGTTATCAGATCAAATGTCAGAGTATGGCTGCAGTACTTGTGTTCAAGTAACCCTTATTTTACCTAATACTGGCCCTAAAACAGAAGTGTAGTAATGCTGGCAATTTGGAAATGCCAACGGAAACATCATACACTTCCTTTAAAAATAAAGGTGAAAGTTCTCAACTTAAATAAGAGGGAAAAAAATAAAGTGTGCTTTGGTTCCCAACATCTAATTCGTAAAATTGTGGAGAAAAGAAATCCATGTTCAAATCACAAAAGTTACAATCACAGTGCATGAAAAGTGTTTAGTTAAGTCAGAAAAGGCACTAAATTATAAGATTCCATGGTTTCAGGCTTCTACTGGGAGTCTTGGACTATACCCTCATGGGTATGGAAACTATATACCTTTTCTTAATAAATATAAAGTACAAAAGCATACTTTTAATAATATTTTCTTGTTATTATAAAATTACATAAAAATGTGTGACTAAAACAACTTAGAATTTATTTGTCAAATTAATTCTAAGGCATATAAATATGTGTTCTAAAAATTATTTTAGATGGCTATTGATAAAAAGTCATCATGTTTGGTTAATTCCCAAAACCACATTTAACTATTGGAAAGTGATTTACTAAAAATGTTTCTCTACTCAAGAGCTCTATTCTATTGTATTAAAAGTCTTCCATTATTCATGTTTTAAGTTGTATATTATTCTAAAAGTTTCTTCACTAAAATTTGAAAATCAAAGTGAACAAACTTTAATAGGTTATGAACAGATTTCCTATCAACAGAACTGTTCTACTAAATAAAGCCTTGTCTATTAAGAAAGGTCTCTAAGAAAGAATTATGCCCACTATCTTTCTTCTAATATACATGACTTATTTTAATGTAGTAAAACCAAAAGATTTATCATTGACAGAAATTATATATAGGCCTAACAATGAGATTCTGATTAGTGTCACAAAAGATCAAAATATATATCAAACTTATAGGAGTTGATTTGCAATTAGAGTCTCTAAATATAGTTCACAAAATTTCACAGACTAAATGAGTTCTCTAACTAGTACCCATCCATGTATAAGTGAAATAATTTCAGCTTTAGAAAACTCAGCTGTTTTTTTATCCAGTATGACCTCATTTATACAGAAGGATCCTCACAAAAATTTATTTTCAAACATACATTTAACTAGAAGGTTGAAAAGCAGGTAGGGGTAAAACCACACCATCAATTTAAATATGTTATTTTAGAAATAAGAACACAGACTAGAAATTAAATAAACCTAATTTTAAAATACAATGAAGCTAGATCCAAGCTAACTCATCTAATTACAAAATAGCGCATAGGTATTTATACCTCAACAAATACTATTGTAGATAAACAAACCTAAGGCTACCTTTATAAAATGAGGCAAGGAACTCAAGCCACTTGAAAAGGGTAAAGGATTAGGTGATAGTTCTTTTCCACACCTAGTCTTTTCTATAAGATGAAAATATGATTTCTTCCAAAACAAAAAGCATCTTTAAAGAATTGTCAACTTGTGTAAATAGACTTTCTCTTAGTTCACTAAGCAAAAAGTAAATTACTTCTAGGTACCAAGAATTAAAAGCAGAAGTAAATCTATGAAATCAACTAAAACAAACCAATTATAAAGAACAAAATTCTCCCAATTCTTATGCTTTCCCAACTTATGTCTACAAAACCATCTGTACTGACTTTTATACTTAGTAATTTCTGAAAACATGCCATTGTGGGTGATATTTCCAACCCAGACTGTTCCATTCTCCAGCTCATTCTCAAATGTTGGTTCAACTCAAACTACCTGCAAGTCAACAAAAATCACAAAAAGCCTAGACTACTAAGTCATGGAAGGTATTTGTGGCCACAATCCATCAGCTTTGCAATTTGTGAACCAATACATATACAACAAAGAAACAACATTTATAAGTGGTACCTACGTTCTTTCCGGTGTTCAACTAAACCTACAGCCTGCTTTGCTGAGCATTTTGCAAACCAGTTGTCCCCAAGTAAAACAGTGACTTCATTAGTATGAACAAGTTTTCCTGGCATGAAGGCAAAGGGGCCAAATGGTACCTATTGTTTAAAAAAGAAAAGAAAAAGGCAAAAGAATTAAAGCACTAAAACATACACTTTATGAAACACTTAGCATTAAGAGTCCTCAGTATTACTGAACTCTCTTTTTAACTATACACTGGGAGAAATAAAATGCCAACTTCACAGAAATTTAACATTTTATATTAAAACTTCACCAGGAAAATCTATAGAAAATTACTTTAAGCTAATAATCAATGTTAAAACAGGAATATAAATCCATACCATGTTTGCACATCACTCTTTAAACATTGCGCTTAGAGAAAGTGTGGCCTCTGAGCATTTATACTTTTCATTAATTCTTAAATCTACATGAAATTACTAAGAGTAACGAAATATTATCAATGAAGAATATTCTTGGTTTAAAAAAACCTGAAAATTATTTCCAATAAAGTCATTTTTGCAAAGCAAGGAGGAAAATAGCTTTAATGAATCTTCCTAGCTATATTACAAAATATTGGGGCTAGTATAACAAAAAACCTTCAAGAAACAGAGTACTCATATGGTAAAAGGTTCTAATCCAGGGCTCTCAACAGGTCACTATATCACTATTAGGATCATTAAAACAAAAATTATCAGCACCTTTTTTTAATGGAAAAAATCAATGTTCTAACATTTAATTCTATGAATTACAAAATATTACAGCCTATGTGATATTACTGTTGTAATTCCAGTTTTTTATGTAGTAAGTTTGCACAATAAATGTCAAATTCTGTGCTAATATTTATGTCACTATAATGAAATACATACACACACACACACACGAAAAAATTTACCAACTATTACTACAATTACTGTAATGTTATAAAGTATAACAAAACCTTCCTTGCAATGGTAGTTACCTCTGATACAGTCCATCAATTTGTCAATTTGTACACATACAGCAAAAAAAAAAAATCATATTTTACACAATTAATGTTTACAAGAAACAATGTATTGCTTTAAAAGAAACACACTAAACATACCATGATATTATAAGACAACTTATCAGGTAAAGTACTGAGTCTTTCTTGAAGGGCATTATAGTCATTATCTACCTTCTTCCTGTTGACAAAAAAGACCAAATACTAAATGAATGAACAGATTAACAATTTTTCCACTCTATGTATCATAAGACAAACTAATTAAAAACCTAATCTTACTCTATTTGTGTACAATGAATCATCTGTCATGTATAACTGATTAGAAAATAAATTTTAAAAAATTTTTTAAAACACCTAATTTTAGCCATTTACAGAGTAAACATTTTTTTTAATTTTTAGAAGTTTTTTTCTACGAAGTTTAGGAATAGCATTATCCCACCATATATTTATTAAAGAATTAAGATTCTCCAGGAATTTTGGCTTTTAGAAGTAGAATACTCACATCTTTACAATTAGTGTTTCCTAATGTAGAAGTCCACTCTGACTAAATAAAATGTAGAAATAAGGTGAAGAGGTGGGCTTCATGTTTGGAAGAAAACAGGGGCTCAAAGGGAAGAAAGAAATTTAATAAAGCTTTTGAGTGAATAAACACTGAGAAATGGAAATCATGAACTCAAATTTGATCAGATGCTTGGTCCTAAACTTTAGGCTGAAAAATGTGGTGTCGTCAACTCTTCAATTACTCATACTAATGTGATTAAGGTAAGAGAAAAATCAACCAAGGGGCAGAAGAAATTAGGCAAAGGTAATACAAAAAGCTTTTCAATTTGGCTTTGCAGTCTGTTTCATGTTTTATCAAAGCAGAAATACCAGCCGGGCATGGTGATCTACGCATGCTACTTGGGAGGCTGAAGCATGAGGATCACAAGTTTGAGGTCATCCTAGGCAATTTAGTAAGACTCTGTCAAAATTAAAAAAAAAAAAAAAGGTTTGGATGTAGCTCAGTAGTAGAGGGCTTGCTTAGCATGTCAGCGTGTACATCTCTAATACAGGGGTAGGGGTGAGAGGGACAGAGCTACCAAATACAATAATTTCAAAGAATCAAAAAATATAATTCTATCAGGGTCACATTTTCATGCTGTGGGCTCTACCCAGTTCTTAGACATGGAATACCAAGCACTAGCCTATGCTGAGATGCCCATTTTCAAACTACCTCTGGAGATTTGGTTTCCTAAGGGTTCCCTGTTAGGATGTAGGCTGCAAGCAAAACCAGGGCACTAACTTTTTTGTAAGCAAAAGGGTATTATCAATTCTAAAACGTTGCAAAAACTAACTCAGCAAATAACTTAAATGTACATGTAGATATAGTCAAATTAGGATAAATGCACCATAATTAATCACTCTATATAATCAAAATGTCTACACTATAAACATCATGGAACTGGTTTCAGTTTACTCCTTAGCTGCTCTATAGCAATAATAGAATAATTAATAAAAGTTACCTCATTTAGTCCTAAGATCTCAGGAATTTCACATATATATCGATATTTATCCTGAAAGTATTCTTATAGTAAATGTCACTTACCATTTTTCTGTTACAGAAGAAAAAGTAGAAGAAAAATGGAGATAAACAGATCTCCTACCCAACAGTGAGATGAGTACTGATTCTAACCTAGGTCTTTTGACCTGTATTCTCGTTGTTGTTTTCTTTTTAGATATACATGACATAGACTTCATTTTGACATAATAAAAAAAACATGGACTGTATCTTGTTCAAATTTAGTCCCCAGTACCTCTCCTTTCGCTTCCCTTCCCCTACCCCCTGCTTCCTTTTCTCTATTGATTCTTGTCATTTACCTAGTTATTTTTTTTATTAATTTTTTATGGATAGCCACAATGGTGAGGTTTTCTGTGGTATATTTATATTTGCATAAAAGTTATGTCTTCATTCCACTGCCTTTCCTTCTCCCATCCCCCTTTACTTCACCCTTCATTTCCCTTTGTCTATTCCACTGAACTTCTATTTGCACCCCACACCCTTATTGTGGATTAGCTTCCATATTTCAGAGGAAAAAATTTGACCTTTGGTTTTGGGGGACTAGCTTATTTCACTTAGCATGACAGTCTTCGGATCCATCATTTACTGGCAAATGTCGTAAAGTCATTCTTTATGGCTGAGTAATAATCCACTGTGTATATACACCAAATTTTCTTTATCCTGACCTGTATTCTTTCAAGCAAACATTTTTCACTTTTCTGGTATTCAAAAGTGCTTTTTATAAACTTTCCTCACAAATCCTTTTCTATTAATAAACATAAAATGCCTTTTATGAGTTGGGGATATAGCTCAGTTGGTAGAGTACTTGCCATGCCTGCACAAGGCCATGGGTTCAATCCCCAGCATACAACACACACACACACACACACACACACACACACACACACACAGGCTTTTATTATATTTAAGGCAAAACTTAACCTTCCAAATAAAATGTTATAAGGATAAAATGGAAAGAAAACCCTTTATGCACAGAATTATGAACCAGAAAAAGCATAACTCTGAAGTCAGACCACAGAATAAATCCCAGCTCTACTACTTAACACACACATGCAAATTAATCTTAGTCTTAATTATCTTCAGTGGTAAAATTGGAATGATAACTATCTCATAGGTTCCAGATAATTAAATATAAAAGATGTAACTCCTACATGTTTTTCCATGAATCAAAAAAAAAAAAAAACACCCACCAACCCTAAAATGTACAGGAAAGACTATTATCTACTAAAATTAAGAGTCCACTAAGTAAATTCTTTTAAATGGATAGTCGGACTTATTGAAAGACAGTAGAGCAAATGTAACCATTCAGGGGCTTTGAAAACAGGGTTAGTGTAAGCAATAAATAGGATAATGCCTATAAAGAACAGATTTGATACAGTGCCTACACATAAGCATTCATTATTAAATCTATGGAATACTAACAATTTATATATTTGAGGTAAATAAGTTAATTATACATCAACTATCTAAATGTTTCTGTGATTAAGTGGTATTAAAGTTAACATTCAATATGTCTTACATAGGCAAATATAACTAGAAAAATGGACTTTAAAAAAAATCTCCTTCATACATTAAGAGAAGAGTAGATTTAACTTAAGGTAATACCAAAGATCAATGTCAGTATTCCAAATCAAGTATATTCAGTTTTAAGTTCATCATTAATAATCCTCCTAGAATAAAAATGTGGTCAAATTGTAAAACAGTTAAAGACTGGAGCTGCTATTTCTAAGTTTTGAATTATTTTCTAAAAATAAAAAAAGGAAGGTAATATAAAATGCAACCCATGAAAATTCCTTTTTGAAGGGAGACCAGCAGAAGGCAAGCAGTGTTTCTGGAATAAATTATGGCCTGGGAAACTCTCTGAAGGCCATCGTACTTGTCAAAATGTCCATGACCAAGTGCTTAATCAAAGGGTCTTCTCCAATAGTTCCTCTAATATTTAGGGCTTAAATAAACCCATTAAAGATCACAAAGGCAACAGGAAATTCAAGTTATTTTAGAACCAATGCTGAGTGCTGCACGGGGTAAATAGGAGATCTTTATATGTACCAGAATTTTAACATAAATTTTCTACATTATTACTTGGAAGCAAAATTAAATTTTGGACATTATGGTCATATTAAAATGTAGTCAAAGAGGTAATTACTTTTTTTAAAAATTCAAATTGGGAACAAAACACAGCTACAGTTAGGATAACCATCTCAAGTCTACTTACTTATATGTATAGACCCGTTTGTTTCACTTTACCATATTTGATCCTTAGAGTTTAAGATAAGCTTTCAATTCCTAATTTAAAATTTTATTCAATAAATAAAGTTTAAGTTGTACCAGATAACCTCATGCAACTTTCCCTATAGAAAACAATAACTAAAACATCTGTATGAGGCATACAAAAACTTGTAAAGTATCCTTTGAATGTTGCTACTCATGTCTACATGTCTCTGAGAGGCATTTTTGTTTTAAATAGAAGTAGCGATGACTATAAATTAACCTTAACCTTAAAGGATTAGGAATGAGACAGATTGCATGTGAAACACTTAATTTTCATAATTTTGGGGGAAAAGTATGAGAGAGCAAGTTAAATGAGGTGTATGCACAAGTATTTAAAGATGAAATATACTGATGTCCATACTTTTCTATATGCTTGTGTTTTTTTTCACTTTCGGTATGTGTGAAGATTTATATAATATTCAGAAGCGGGCAGAGAAATATGAAAAGAACTCCATATTTTTAATCCTTCTCTTATAAAATCTTTGTAAAGGAAAAAATAAGTTCTATATTTCTTATTTTAGACAAGTAATAGACTCCAGTCTCCATCTTTAAATCACGAAAAAAGGAAGATAAAACAATAAGACATTGCTAATTTAAAGTAGGAAGCTAGAATAGGCCAAAAAAAAAAAACATCTAACATCAAAACCCTTTTTCCTTCTCAGAAGTAGTCTCACATCATTCTCTACCTTTACCTAACATGCTAAATAAATAAAGAACCAGAAGTGCTGAAATGGGAAACAAAGAGAAAGGCTTTTATATTGCCATTACTATCTGAGTTTATCTGGGACAAAGACTTAATTTTTTTTAATTTAAGAAATGATGAAATCCAAAGATTTTTGACACCACCTATTGAATACCTCCTCTATAACTAAGCCTTATGCCATGTACTGCAGGGATCAAATATAACATGCATGTTTTTTCTGTTTGTTTGTTTTGTTTTTAATTTGCAATCCACTGGCTTGAAGAATTCCTGTGTTTTCACCTTTAAAATTAAGAAAATGAAGGAATATTAAATTCAGCCATGGGTTATTTGCATATAGAAAGATATTCTCTCAATACTAAAGCAAAGAATAATAATTTTTTTTCAAAGTAGCTTCTTAATCTAAAGAAAGTGTTCAAGTTAAATTAAAAAATAAAAACATTCCTGAAAGACGAACTTTCTACAGTTTTATGGGGAAAGGAATGCTCATTAAAAATTTAAATGTATTTACTGTATGAAATCAAAAGCAATAATCTTCTTTCTAAATGATCATGACAAAATATTTTTTAACTTCAATCAATGAAATAAGGGGACAAACACTTAATTTTTAATGTATATAAAATCCAAACAATATGATGGCATATTCCTTTTTTACAACTCTAGTATACCAAGGAACTTATATAATCAGAAGATGCTAATAAAATAATCCATCATGCTCTTTATAAATTATGAGTTATAAGAAAATATTAGAAATAACCTATAGATAAAAAGATTAGAAAATATCATTAGAAATAACCTATAGATAAAAAGATTGGCCTAAATAAAAACACTTACAATTTTTTAAGTCAACTGAACAAATTATTCAAAGAAACAGATGAAGCTAGCATTCCATCTGATTTCTTCAATTAAACTTTTTAACAGTAAGAGTGCAAAGGATAAACATAGTAAGGGGAATTTGTTTTAGGGAGCTCTTCAACTATAAACATGTGACTTAAGACCTGTCAGTTATTATAGCATCTTTTTATTCATTCGTAACTTATCTTTTCCTCTAGAATAAAATGACATGGGAATTCAAAATAAAAAAGCTTAACTATTACATAAAAACACATTAGTCAAACTCTGAAAGAAATAACTCCAAAGTGCCTAATTCAGTTAACTTTACATGAACTTACAGATAATTTTATCTCCTTTTTATTTCCACAACTGATAAATATTCCTGTTATAAATTAAAAGGATAAATCTTTTAGAAAAACTGATGAGTTTATAACATACTTAAGCTTTGATTATTCATGCCAGTTTTTACTTAAATCGTACCATAATCCTTAGGTTTTGAGACTTCAATTTAGATTTTATACTTTATTTCTAAAGTATATTGTAGAAAAAGTAAACTTTTTGTGTTTTCTTAGAGTTGTGATTTTGGTCACAGAACCCTACAAGAAACTGAGAAAAGGACCCATATGTTCCATATAGTTTCAACAAGTGGCTTCTTACAGAATTCTCCAGGTTAATAGTGGTTTTATAAGAGTGAAAAACAGGAATCCTGGTTCTGAAGCCACCAAATATTTAAAATCCTCAAAATTATCTTTAACTCAACTGACTTAAAAAATGAACAAAATGATGGGAAAACCCTCACCAATTTGGTCATAAATTCAATATGAATTAGCAAAAAGTAACTCAATTCATTTTGCATAGATCCTACATTTTTCTAAGTCATACACTGATACTCACTCGCATCCATCTTTAGTATTAGAACTAGGACTTTTCAATCTCAAAACAAGCATGAGCACTCACCTCTCAAACACTGCAATTCTTGCAATATTTACACCTTCATCCATACACAGCACCCTTTGTGCTTGAAAGCGTTATTTCATGTTGCTCTTATTTTTCAAAAATGAATGGGAAAAACTCAAGGTGCAGGTAGTATAGTTTTCAGACAATAAAGTTCAGAAAAAAATGAAAACTCATAAGTTGTATCAGAAGCCAAATCCTTAGCCTCAATCAAATATTCACTGGACTTAAGATGATCATGAGAAACTGAACCAAACAAAGCACATTGTTACTAGACATAGATCATCATCAAAGATTATACTCCACCTAATAAGTTGTAAATTTAGAGGGCTTTTTAATAACAGTTTAAAGTCTTGGAGGGGGGTAGAATTCCCCGATTAATATGTAAGTTTGCCTTTTATTTTCAGAAATGCATTAAGTATTAGTTTGGCTGCTTCCAAAAACCTGACATAAAGGCTTAGGGACTCCTAGAAGTAATAACTTCTAATTTTAAGTTAAAAATCATTAGGTCTTTAAATCAAGGAGGGAAATATTATAGTTTGGCCTTAGTGACACAAATATATACAAAGAACTAACAAGCTAAAGGTAATAAAACATTAAAAAACAAAGGGAGAGAACTGGCTTCTCTTCAAAATTGAGTAAATTTACCTTTTTCCTTTTCTTATTTCAATCTTTCTATAATTGAGCATGTATTCGTTTCCCACTCAGAATAAAAATCTTAAAACCTAATTCAGATTTTGTTTCAAAACTCAT